AAAAACGGCGATTCAATTTTTATGGAAACATCCCCAAAAAATGAGAGAATGGGGTAAATTTTGTAGAGAAAATGGCAGAAAGCCAAAAAGATTTTCAAGAGATGTTCCAACTCGTTGGAATTCTACTTTTCACTTGCTTGATGAATCTTATGAATATAAAAATTTATTATGTGCATTCATTTCTAATAATATACCTCAGATTAATTTATACCCACAAGAGTGGGATATTTGCAAAAAAAATTTAGATATTTTAATTTAATGATGCAACTTATACTTTGTCCGGTATTTATTATCCTACTACGCATTTATTTTTATTAGAGTGTATTAATATTGTCGGAATTTTTGACGAATATGAAAATGATATTGAATTACAACATACTATAGTAACAATGAAAATGAAGTGGCTACATTATTATGGCGAAATTCCCATTATTTATTTAGTTGCTTGTGTTTTTGATCCGCGTTGCAAATTAGATGGTTTAAGTGATTGTTTGCATACGTATTATTAATGTTTACATTATGATGCGATAAATGTTACAACCATAGTACGTGAGGTTAAAAACGTAGTGATAGAATTATATAATGAATTTTATACTAAATATAATTTAGGTGATATTGGATCTTCTCAATCTACCGAGACACAAAATGAGAGTATAGGTAAAATTAGTAGAGGGTACCAACTTTTATTAAATAGACATAAAAAACAAAAGGGAGCAATAGGAAATATTTCTGAATTAGAGACTTATCTAACCGTTTTCTTTGAGTTTACTGATTCCAAATCCGAAGGTAGTACAGGTTTTTTAATTTTGGATTGGTGGAAGAAGCAAGCAAGCCAATACCCAATCCTTTCTCTTATTGCAAAACAAATTTTTGCAACCCCTTGTTCCACAGTTGCAGTCGAACAAGCATTCAGTGCGGGAGGTAATATTTTAGACGAACATCGTTCAAGATTAGCTCCGAAATCAGTAGAGATGTAAGCTTGTGTCGATGATTGAACGAAGGCTCAATACCGACAACAAGAGATAGATCGGAATAATGAATCCGAATTCTTTAACGACGGAGATACCACCGGTATCGATACCGCTACCGGAACGGGTAGCGACGATTGAGGATAAAAGAACTGTTGGAGTTGGCAAATATTTCGGGGATCCTTGTTTCTCATACCGGGTACGCCCACGTGAGCTTAGGAAAACCGAAGTATAATCCGACGACATGTGACCTCTACGTACGGAATGCGGGGGTTTGGATAGGCTTAGGTTTTTGGGTCATTTTAAGGCATATATATTGTACTCCTTTTTTTTATAGATCATTGTAACGAATTGTAAGGCGTTTAATGATAATTTATTAAGTTCAAGCCCCCTCATTCTCTCTTTTTGTCCCCAAATTTGATTACAATTTACATTTTGATTACAATTTATATTGAATAATTCATTATTTCATAATTTCATTATTTTTTTTATTTAATAATTTTTTTAAAAAATTTTAAATTATGAACAGGAACCGGTAGGAACCGGAACCGGGACCGGAATGAACCGGCCCGGAATCGGAACTGGACCTAAACCGACCCTGAACCGGGCCGGTTCCGGCCCGGAACCGGAACCGGACCGGAACCGGCCCGGAACCGGACGGTTCCGGTTCATACCTGGCCAGGCACCGGAACCGCCGGTTCCTGAACCGTGGCCATGACTAGGTTAGAGTGTTTTCATTTATGACATTTCACATTTGATCTCTTGGACTAGAGTATCTCTATAATTATGTATCTCTTTGGTGAATTTTATTGAGTGGTGAGTTATACGCCTACATCCTTGGGTGGATTTGTTAGGTGGCGAGCATTTATTCTGCCACACTTGTGTTACCTTCTAAGTCTTTTACCATGCTGATATCACATAGGCACCAATTTGGACCAAACCAGATAAAATATTGGCTTGCTCTTCTCTAATCTTTATAACATTTGTCTGATACATCTCTATTATGATTCGTTGGCTGATTGCATTGACCGGGTTTAAGCGCAACAAATTAGTTTTAACCTTCATGGTTAATTGGTGGCTCACACTCAATCTGTATCGGTGTTTGGTGAGTATCACCTCAAGGAAAAAATATCATGATCAACACGGTTTGCGGTGGCTTTCACAATTCGACTTGGCAGAAGAGACCAAAGGTGAAGATTCAGTTATGGTGTAGCAATGCGGTGTCGGGTAGCTTTTATGGTTCGGTCTAGTGAAAGAGACTAATGCTATGTCTGGAAACTAGGAGGAAGAGAAAATTGCTAGATGGGGAATGAAAATTGATTAAATTTTAAAGATTTTCCTCCATCTCATTCTCATGAAATTTTTTAAATTTTCCTATTTTCCTCACCCACTTTAGTTCTCCCACTTTTTTCTCCTTTTACCAAACAGAGGATACGGGGTGAAGTTGAGTGTTGTGGTGGTTGCGGTGCCTCCTCCCCCACAACAAGATAGTGATTCGAGTGGAATTATATGATGATGCAGAAGGATACAAGGGAGCTAGCCTAACACTGGAGTCTTATGCATGAGGAAATGATTATTGAAGTGCACATGTGAGCGGTGTTTATAAAGTCTCGCATAAGAGATTCAATATGAGGTGAAGCAATTGATGTATCCTCGTGGCCTTACAACTCATTGACTGAAGAATTTTAGTGAAGGTACGAATCCAATTGCATATGCTAATAGGCTCGAAAGAGCTCTGTCTTACTGATTTCTTACTAAAGGTATTAAATTTCGCATGACATATCCCAATATAGATTTAGCCCCTAAGTGTATGATATGGATGAAAAAGGTAGTATGTTTTTTTGGTTTCGGTTCTTATTTTGGTTGTTTGTCGACAAATGAAAAAAATATATATACATGCACTTAAAAATTAACTTGTCTTTGAGAAGTGCTTGTAATTTCATTTTTTTAAAAGATGAGGAGGACCAACTTAGGCAAGTGAATCCCAACCCATTGAAGTACCCCACTCATTTCATAAACCAAGTAAGACGCTAACCAAAATCACAATGACCAACCCAAGCAAAGGTTTTATTTCTTTCCCATCCACAACATGTTCACTCCTCAATCATTAAGCCTGTTGAAAATATATCTAGAGTTTGAACCCGAAAAGAAGAGTTTTCTAATTCGAGTGGGTTTCATAATTTGAATAAGTAGTTCAATAGTTTCCTAATTTGACTAAGTTTCCTAAATTGAGGTTTCCTATTTTGGATCCAACTCTTGTCTATTTATAAGAAGTGTCTGCATTTGTGAAGAGCATTTAAGAGGAGTTTGTGCTTGTGAATTACATGCTGAGTGTTTGAAGCCGTAAAAATCTTGTGTTAAGATTTTGTGTATTTCCCTGCAAAATTGAGAGATTGTTTCGCGATGAATTGTGAGGTCTAAATATTATGTGTGTTATTGTGTATAATCAACGGCTAGGAAATACTGTGAATATTTGAATGACTTAAGTACGGTTGCAATATCTATTTTATTGATTGATCTATAGTGAAATTCAGTGCTGCTCTTCCCTATGAACGTAAGGCACATTGACCGACCACATAAATCCAATGTCCGATTTATTTTATTATTCAGTTTATTTATTGTTCGGTCATTTGCTTCCTCAACAAAACCAATCTTATCAAAGTCGCCATAGTTTGAGAATTTTGTTTAACTTTTGCTTTTGGTTTCACTTTAATGTGACATCTTGTTGAAATCATCGGTCAAATTAACATTTACCATGTCCAAGACAAAGTGAAGATTGAAATGGATCAAAGGCAAGGAGGGTGGCCATCTTGGCCACGGACTTATGGTCAAAAAAAGGTTAAAATGCCAAAAGAGAAGAAAGGTTGAAGCTTAAACTTATTTTAATGTTCAGTTTATTTATTGTGCTGAAACTGTTGCCTTGCCAAACTGGCTAATGACCGCTCAACTTTCTACAAGAATCTACTGATTATCTCCATCTTTTTAATCCCATCAAAGCCTACAAAAATGTGCAGAACAATTACCTAGCCAATCTAAAATCTAATGTACGTATGCCAATTCATTCTTCAATTTTTCAATTTCGTCAATTTTTTCCTCCCGACAATTTTGTCATTTTAATTCTAAACTTTTGTGCGAAATTCGAATGACGTGGTGGTTCAATCATTGCCGACCATCCTACGTGGTACACTTTTACATTAGCGATTCTGACAAAAATTGACCGAAATGACTACATTATAATTTCATGTAAAGGTTTAGGACTAAATTGGTAAAATTGAAAAATTTAGAACTAAATTAACATCCATACAATAAGTTGAGGTATGATTTGACAATTTTCCTAAACTGTGCGGCTCTTACTTGCCTGAGAATCTTACTATTTTCTTTTTTTAATAATATCATCGTCTAAGTGCAAAGTGCGTGTATTCAATGGCGGCCAAATAACATCCAAACGTCACAAAATGCGAAGACTTGTGTCATTCACTTTTCATTTTTAGTTTCTTTACTGTTTTGGGTCTAATACAACGGGAGTAATTGGAGGCGGCGTCGAAGAACAAGGAAGCTTCCGAGACCGTCGCAGTCGTGAGCCCTTGTTTTCTTTTTGGTCCTGCGTGACATAATGTTCTTGTAAAAAACAAAATAAAAAAGATAGAGTAATCGTCTAAAGTAAGCTCCGAACCTCTAGAAGAAAGCAGACATTTCAAAGAATCACACCAATTTTGACCCTTGCCCTTCAAACGCCAGTGTGCAAATGGTCTTGTGAATGCTGCGTGTGAAACAACACGAGCAAGACCAGTCAAACTATTCCCCACGTGCACATATTTCCTCCATTAATTACTTCCTTTCTCGTCCGCGATCAAGTTGGGGGGTGTTTCTTGCGAGCATCACTATACCAAACAAACGTCATTTCTTCATGCATACTTCTATTGCGATAATTCAAAACATTAGTCAAGTCAAATGTTTTAGTCCACGTTCTCAGCTGGACCTTTTGCCTATAAATACCCCAAACACGCTTCGCAAGCTTCATCACCACATTCCTTTCGCAAGATAAGCTCCAGCCTACGCAAGGAAAAGAAAACGCACCACGCAAAACTCCATCCACACCCCAATCTCTCTAAATCATCAATGACATTCTCTTGCGCGCCGACTTTGAAAAGAACCAGGGATGACTATGAAGGGATGAGCTTAGACATGGCGAAATGCCTGATGCTTCTCTCCCACGGGATCAACACAAACCCTAAACGAGCCACCGTGCATCATGACGAAGACAACTTCGAGTGCAAGACGTGCAATCGCCGGTTCTCTTCGTTCCAGGCGCTCGGCGGCCACCGGGCGAGCCACAAGAAGCCAAAGCTGCCCGAGACAAAGCCAGAAGACTGCACCAAGTTGGCGCTGGGCTCAGCGGTGAAGCCCAAGATGCACGAGTGCTCGATATGTGGGATGAAGTTCTCGTTGGGGCAAGCCTTGGGAGGCCACATGAGGAGGCACAGGGCCGAATTGATGAGCGGGAACATGGTGAAGATGGACGAGTTTTTCACGGTTGGTTCAACGATCCCAGTGTTGAAGAGGTCGAATAGCAGCAATAAGAGGGTTATGGGCCTGGACTTGAACTTGACTCCTCTTGAGAATGACCTCAAGTTCTTGTTCGGCAAGATGGCTCCGAAGATAGATCCCATGCTCCTGTAATTATAATTCCTTGTTCTCACGTTGTTTTCACGAGGAGATTTACTTTAGGTTGATTATTTGTTCATTCATTTGTTGTACAAAAAGAAACTCCCATGTGGACTGACTGGGTTTAGGGGCTTTTGTAATTCATCCAAGATTTCAAGTCCAATCATTCTTTTATCTCTTTTTTGCTGTTTTACCCCAGTTATGAAAGAGATTATTTGTTGGCAAAATCATCCTGAATAAAGCTAGATAGGAAGACAGCATGGTGTACAATATTAGTAAAGAACGATGGTGTTGAATGCTTGCTTCTGTTTTGATATTCACTTATGGTCGGTTTTTCTGGTACGCCTTTTTCAAACTTTAAACTTTTCGCTTAATTGCCATTTCAGAGCTGAGTACATAATAATATGTTTACTGTTAAGGGGAAAGAGATAACATGCACGATTTCCATTCTTTGCTTCCCTATTTAGAATAAGTTTCCGCGCTTGAGTTTCGGGTCGAATCTCAAGCTATAAGGAAGGAGAAGTGTCAGAATGTTTCAAGTACTAATATGCGGAAGGGCCTGATATTGTAGTCTATTCATAAGAGCAGACTCATCTTTTCAATTTAATCTCAAAAAGACCTCACTTAGTTAAATTTTAATCAGTTATAGTGAATTATCGGTTGCCCTTCTCTTTTGGCAAGTAAACGCTAAAATTCAAGAAAACGATGTAATTTTTGGCTTTCCCCCACATAGGAAGTAGTTTCGTAGCTGCGCTTTTAACTTGACAGTTACTTTCGAAATAGAAACGACGTTTTGGAATTCAAGTACAAAAGAGCATCGTTTCTTCTGCTGAGATTTCATGCAGATTTTGCTGTAGCTGGTCGACGTGAAACACTAGTCATATTGTTGACCTCTGATGAGCTTCAAGCTAGGAGGGCAATCAATTTAGAACTTGCTTTCCTATCCATAAACTCGCTCCAAATTTCTGGGGTACGATAAATTCACATGCTTATCAGTTCTACTTTCTCATCTTCCAGCTTTTACTTTGACCAGAATTAAAAACCTTCCGGTCAATTTTTTTTTGGTTAGGAACAGTAGAATGGTACTTGGAAGATGCTCAAATGCTTTAACGGCAGAAGGTCCATTTCCTTTCGTAGCACATTAACTAATTTTAAATTCAACAAATTTGACTCTTGATAAATAAAGCTGACGTTGAATCTTCATATTCAATTAAGTTAAAGTATGTTTGAATGTCCTTGCTTGAACACGTAGGAGATTCACTTTAGCTCATTCGGAGAAGGGTAATCTAGTTGCTTGTCGAGCCTGGAGTGGATTAGGTTGCAACTTTTCACGCCCGTTACTCAAATCTTTACGTTTGTGCTAGAATGTCCAAGTCCAACCTATTAGCTTCTGAATTTGACATTTTAACACGGTATTTGAATCAGGTTTTGTTCAAGTTTATTTCGCGTGTGAGATCCTCATATGTCAGATTCCGCAAATCGTTCCTAATCCAGTTGTATTAAATATCCCATATCGCTTGTTTAAGGAGTTTGTATGCTCCCATATCATTTTAAAATTTTCAACCTTAAAGTTTAACCAACGAACTAGCAACTTTTATTTACAATGATGGTTTTAAATTTATGCGTAGGAATGTGAAGATTCAACAGGTGTCGGTATTAATCCATTATTGCCTGTCAAACATGACTATGAACTTCCTTATCCTTTCTTTTCTTTTACACCAGGCTGAGTTAAGCAATTTATGTCACTGTTTTGAAGTTAAATGTCCAAAAAGTCCTAAATCTTTTTATAAAACAGTCAATTCAATTATAAACTTTTCAATATAACAAATTTAGTCATAAACCTTTTAATCATTTTTCAATGCAGTCCTTCCGGCCAATTGTTGCCAAAATTCGCTGATTTGGCATGAGTAAACTTCTCAACGTCAGCATACCACATAAGATAACTAGCGATGATATCAACAATTTCTGATGGCAATTCATCGTAAGGATTACATTGAAATTTCGAGCAAAAGTTTATATCTACATTAATAAAATTAAAAAACTTAGAACTGAATTCATACAATAAATTTATGACTGATTGGACAATTATCCCCCTAATTTTGATGTTACGGGAGTACACGATTTTAGAATTTTGCGTGTTTCTCATGATTGCTTGAAGTCCTTCATGGCCTTAGAATGTAAAATCAAGTGCCCACCATTTCAAAGTTACAATAGGTGAGGTAAGTACCTGCTGGTGTCAACCGTCAAATATGTCTCCAAACCAATTGGTTATAACTTAATAATGTGGACTTTTGAGTAGAGCACACCAATTGAAGGAAACCACTGACGTATATTTTTAGGTAGAAATTTTTTATCGATGTGATCAAATTCGTGAATTTTATTTTTGTCGAAAAATTCGTAAATTGAGTTCAGTTAAATATGTTGATGGACTTTACTGGGAAATTTCTCTGAAATAAGGTATCGGTTTTGCTGCGTGTATGAGCAAATCTCAATAGTCGATGGTGATGTATGACATCATCCCACGTATCAATTTCAAAAAAATAACATAAAAATGAAAAAAGAGAAACAACTTTCAACTTTCGGCTCTGTCGAGTCAAATGGGAAGTTTGAAAATTAGCCCGTCGCTATTATTATTGTTTTTTCCTCGCCATTTACTTTTTTTTTCTAGAATCCTCGCCATTTATTTGCTAAATGACAACTTGCACTTTTCTTTGGACGTCACGGATGTTCCTTCCACTAAGTATAGCCTGATCCACTGAGCGTGCGGAGATATATTGTCACGGACACCGTTTATTTCGCAAAAAATATTCTTTAATTTTTCAATATTTGGGTCGCTTCAGAAAATGAGTCAACGAAAAAAAATTTCATACAAAAGCTTAAATTTCAAGAAAATGATTTCCTCTTTAAAAATTCGAAAATTATTTTTTAAAATATAACTAGATATCGACGCTTAAATCAGAAATTCTGTGCTTAAGCACCATAACACCAACGCTTGTTCTCAGGCCCTTGGTAGTGGGTCTGGGTTCCCGACGCCTGGGCCCGAGTCCATCGAGGCTGGGCCTGGGAATCTAGTGCCTTTACCATAGTCCATCTAGGAATTGCCGGGATCTATCGAGGCCAAGCCTAGGACAACAGTGCCCTTGCCCGAGATGCTAGGCCCATAATATCGAGGCTAAGCTTGGGTCCTCGACGCCTGTGCCTGAGTCAATCAAGGCCAAAATCTTTTAGAAATTTTTCAATTTTATTATTTATTTTATTTATTTTTCTTTTTCCTTCTTCCTCTGCCAATCACTGGGTTTCAGTAACGGCCAGTGATCGGCCACAAGAACGAGCCAGTGAGGGAGTCAACAATTTAATAATGAGGTGATTTTGTAATATCCTTTATCATACGCAACACGTGTAACAAACCAACCTTTGCTTGAAGGTTACAATACTTTAGGGATAATCACAAAATGGTCTTTGAACTTTGGTACAATATGTAATGTGATTCCTAAACTTTTAATTTGTTCAATATGATCATTGAATTTTAGCCTAATGTGCAATGTAATCCATGAACTTTTAATTTATTCAATGCTGTCCATGAACTTTTAGTAAACGTTCAATCTACTCTATGAATTATTATATTTCTGGACTCAATTTAGTCTAGGAACTAAATTGAACATATAACAAAAGTTCGGGATCACATTAAACAAATTAGAAGTTTAAGAACCACGTTGCACATTGGGCTAAAGTTCAGGAACCGCATTAAACAAATTAAAAATGCATGACCATATTACACAATGAATCAAAGTTCAAGTATCATTTGTGTCATTTTCCCATCCTTTTAATTGTTATTACTTCATCAACTGTTACTTATACTATTGTATAAAGTAAAGCGGGCCTCCTATTTTTAATATATCACAATCATTTTTTTTCTTCCGCAAAACTATCATCTATTTGTTATTCTATAAATATTCTTTCAACTGAAAATACGTAAAATTAACGATCCTATTTTCTCTCTCATTTCCATTTTAAAGTTCGAATCTTTTCTATCTTATAAAAAAGTGCAAACCTTGAAATATTCTTCTCTTTCCATTTTTATGAATTTCTTCGTAAGCTCGTACTTTTTTCTACCCAAACTACGACTGTAGACATCCCTTACCATCTTGAATATACCAAATAATCCATTACGGGTTCTACTTTAGCATGCCGTTGGAAGTTAAAATTTTCAATTACTATTCTATATGCAGAACAAAGACTAGGTCAAATGTGGGGTCCACTCTTGATTTAAGCTTGTTTCTTGCCTTATTTCCTTTTTTTTGTTTAGGTTCTTCTTCTTCTTCTTTCATTAGGGAGAAATCGGTGACTTTTTTTCCAAAAAAATAATTTATTTGATAGATAGCCAACTAATTATTGTGTTAATCAGTTATACATTTTTTCTTATTTTGTACTAGGAAACTAATATTCTAAAAATAACCTAAGCACAAGTAAGAGTGAAAAAAAATCACCCACTAGTTTTAGTAAATGCATTTGGTTAAATTAGAATTTTCATATGTATCGTTACATTGTAGTCCATATATTGTAATTGTTGAACGTTCATTTTATACGGTAAGTCGAATAGTCCGATTTAATTTATTTATTTTGTATGTCATCACTACACGATTTCTTAATGGATATTAAAAAAAAGAATTAAAAATATAACAGAGTTAAGTATATTAAAAATTTTCAGTTGAACTCTTAAACAAGGGAGAATAAGTACAGAAGAACACAAACATGAAAAAAGTTGTTTGCGAGGGCGTGGAGGAAGCGGCACTAGAGTGAAAAAGTATTTTGAGAGGAGTGAGGGTAGTTTTGTCTTTTAGTAAAATTGAAAGGCAATCCATTAATTTGTTAGTAAGTGGAGTTTTCTTATTAATCCTAATGGTTTTTTTAGGATATTATCGTCCATTTAAAATGGCAGTGGTGCCTGTAACCTTATTTGGAGTCAAAAAGCGCGAACATTCTTCATTTTGTGTCAATAATTTGTTTTTCACTCATTAGTGAACCAAATGTACCCTTATAATAAGTCGATTTTGTAGTATCTTTTAATTGTCACACATTCAATGTATGGGCACTTTTGCTAGTAACCCCATAAACAAGCCAGAAGAAATGAAAAGTTGACCAAATATAAAGAAAAATGAAATGTTATTCAGAGACCTGGCACAAAAGATGAATCTCAATCGGAATATTGAACATTTGGATGGAAATTCTGTGTTATGGTTGTCTCCATGATATTCCATACAAAAGAAGTTGTATAACACTGATAGAGCAAACAGAGCTTCACTGAACATATGTTGAATGTTTGCAGTGTGTCCGAACATACGTTTTCCTACTGTGATACGCATCATGAACCCAGTGCAACCTCCCCAAGAAACTCTTATGTGGTGTTTCAAGAATGGTGTCATCTTGGAAAAGCTATTTATACCCACAAATTATATGCTTTTATTATTCGACAACTCATCTTGACGGTTGATTTCATTGTCTCTTTGAATTCATTATCCTTTTCTTGTGCAATGAATGGTTGTGATGGATCACGGAATATTATTAAAAAAAAGGATATTTCTTACCCAATATCTTATCTTCTCTGACCGCATATAAACCGTTGAATGCGCATGAGATTGTCATGTATTAAAAGTCTTGTCTCCTAAACTCAAAAGTTAGAATTTTATCACGAGCAATTTTTCCAAAGAGCCATGTAGAGTAGGGCTGTCAAAAAAGGCCCGAAATTGCCCGACCCGATCCTACCCGAACCGGAAAATCAGGGTAATTTCGGGTAGAGTCGCAGTATTGTTCGGGTTAAGGGTTGTCAAGCGGGTATTGTAATGGTTTCGGTTCGGTTAGGGTAATTATTCTACAGTACGCTCTTAAGCCGTATCCCCAGCTAGCCATCCGCGACTCGTTCTCCTTTCAAGCTTCCTAGCACGTCGGCTCGGCTTGATTTGACCCGTTTCGTTTCGTGTGTGAACAACACCTAATAAAGTAGTCAAATCACTATTTTATATTCTCTCCCCATACTACGAAATAGTCCCCTCCTTATCTCCTGTTAACTTTTTCCCAAGGCATAAATCTCATAAATAACAGGTCTTCAAGTTGCTTTTTCCTCTCTGACTGCCCGAATCTTTGTCAACGCTTCTTTTATTAGGTCTTGAATTATATCTCGCGTAAGTGGAAAACGATAATGTTCACATGTAAGATCGAGATGTTTGACATGTAGCCGCTGCCTCTTGATTCGCGGAATAATCTCAATCCATACGTTTTGCTATGTACTTTATCTTTCATTGACTCGCCATATTTTTTAAGACAAGTAATGAGTAGCATGAGTCGTACGAGCTATAAACACTCTTGAGAAATTTTAAATAAGATCCTAAAAAAGAGCCTTTTTCTCAAAAGAATTTCAAAAGTACACATTATCTCAAATAAGATCGTGAAATATCGAATTTACACCCCTCTATTCACCGGCCGACCAAATATTAACCGGCCGGTGAGCACGTGGCACTTTCCAAACCATAGCCATGGCCATTGTCGTTCAGGAGCATTTGCAATGAGCTTGGACATGGCAAAATGTCTTTCACTTTTCTCTCATGTGGTCAATACAAACCCTAAAATAACCGCCATGCGTGATGAAGACAACTATGAGTGCAACTATTTTATTGCGACCTTCCTCGAGATGAACCACTAAGGAAAAACTAAATGAATTACTAAGCATGTACGAACGGCTGCACATTAATGAGTCGCCTAGAGCGGACTCTTCTAACTCCATACCAATCACAACTTTAAGTGTTTTGGTTAAATCAGTGAAACATGCAATTCAATTTAGTTAGAGTCACACATCTCTCTCCTTTGTCTTTCTTTTTCATGGCAAAGACTCTCTCTTTCATCTTCATCTTCAACATTTCTTCATTTTTTTTTTCTATATTTTTTCTCCTTAGTCTTTCAATATTTAAGTGAAACAATCCTATCGTAGATATACTAAATTTAGTCACTAATATGTGGGAATTGACTATTGATGGAAGGCATATATGTGCGTCCTAAAGAGATTAAAGCACCTAATCTCTTATAGATATTACGAGACCATAGTCAAATTATCCCAATTTATGATAGTGTAGATCAACATTTAAATGATTTTGACAGTAGATTGATGTCTATAACTGAATATAGCTTCTTTCGCATCGTTGTTGAATAGTAAATATGTTATTAAAATATTATTCAATGAGAATAATTTAAAGATATAAAAATTAGTTTATTAAATTCTACTTATTAGGGGAAAATGGTGATCACAAATATTTCTAGCATTATTTTTAAAAAAGAACTTTAGGAACTTCACACAATGGCAAAAAGCTACACTATTTGTATCATTAGTAATTTTATGTCAATTCATGGCAAGTTCATCTCCATAAAATTCCACTTTCTGACAAAGCATGTAATCATACGGATGATAATCATAATTTGTTACCACCAATCAGAAATATGGATACAAAAAAAAAGTCCATCCAATCGGGAAAGACGGAAAATATAACCCTTGCAATAAAGCGACCAATCTTTTGTTTATTAAAGAAAAAGGTATTAGAAGTCATGATGAACTCATGCTTATCTAAAACTTACGTAGTGTCTCAAGCCGTAGTAGCCGTAGCTCGCAAGCCGTGTCTCGGCTGGATTTTACCCGATCCGTGACTGCCCAATCGGGACTCGCCACGTCATGTTGAACAGCATCGAACGTGTTTTGGTCAACGAATTCACACGTGTACACCATTCCTATATCAAATTTGGAACACGACGCCATCCTTGACGTATACTCATCGGGGGCAGAGATACCATCGTTCAGTCAAAGTCAACTGTTTCGGTCCAACTTATCAACTGGCTAGACCGCCTATAAAATACACAGGCAGCCTTCCATCACTACATTCAAAACCCTAGCCATCCACACCCTCCTCTTCACCAGACTCGTTTTTTGACATTTTCTTCCTCGACCATGAAAAGAGCTTTTGACAATGGAGTATCCGCAATGAGCCCGGACATGGCAAATTGCCTGATATTTCTCTCGGGCAGCGTCGACACCATGCCAATAAGGAGAACCGATTGTCACGGCGGCGACTTCGAGTGCAAGACCTGCAAACGCCAGTTCCCGTCGTTCCAAGCATTGGGAGGCCATCGAACGAGCCACAAGCGGCCAAAGCTGTCGGAACCAAAGCTGGAGGATTGCACGGTCTTAACCTTGGGCTCAACGGCAATGCCCAGGATGCACGGGTGCACGATTTGCGGGCTCAAGTTCGCGAATGGCCAGGCCTTGGGTGGTCACATGCGGAAACACAGAGCAGAAGTTTTGAGCGAGGTCACGGCGAACATGAACTCGGTAATCCCAGTTGTCAGGAGGTCCAGCAGTAACAACAGGAGGGTTATGAGCCTCGACTTGAACTTGAGTCCTCTTGAGAATGACTTGAAGATCTTGCTCGGCGAGCTAACGCCGAGAATACTGATCCATTGATGAATTGATTCTTTTTGGTGTGATTGATCTGACTTTCAACCTTTTACATTTTCTTGCTTTGTTATTCGGGTTTTGCTTTTACCCAGAATTGAGTTTCATTCATTCATTCGTTGTACAAAACAAGACTCGCCAGAAGCAATTGATCGTCGTGTATACATTGCCGTTGCTTTTCTCATTGTCAACCTTCGAGGGTATTTCCGATGATCTTTCGCATGTCAACTTTTTCGACATTGTTTTTGAGTCCACGTTTCGCGATTAATGAATGCAAAGTTAAAAGTGATGATAACGTTTTGGTCATCTTGACGGAAGCGCAAGCCGTTTTCACATTCAAAACCAAGCAACCATGGACAAATCTTGTAGATCTAGTGTTTTTAGCTTGGAAAAGCTTTGAAACAAGTGGGGGCATATATAAAGGAAAGAGCATGCAAATAATGCGAGAGGAATAGAAATGATGCGAGTTGCCAATTGCGAAAAGCTAGTCAAAATTTGGGGCATTCTTCTTTATCCAGCAGTAATTTTTTAGCCTTTTGAAGACTTTCACATCGCCATGAATACATCTCGATCGAGGTCTAAGGATAGAAGCCGGATGGATTTGGTCGGCCAAACCATCCCAAACCCATTCAAGAAGGCATGACTACGCGTCGTGCCCATCCCAAACCCGGTTTATTTAGGGTCAAGTGAACCTAAAATTGACTAGCCCGTACTCATCAAAATCCATCATTCATACCAGAAAGAGAAATTTGTGTTTTTGGGCTATCTCAACCCGCTTCCATCCAATTTGAATAACGAAGTTAGAAACAGAGCTCAATGAAGAATTTGTGAGATCCAATATATAAGAAGACGATACGAGTGTTGTGTATTTTCGAATAGGATAATTAATTTATTCGACTCAATTATGGTATTGTATGTGTCCGTTGAATTTGTAGTTTCCATTTGTTCTTATCTCTAGTTAGTTTATTTCCATGTGTATAGGGATCAGCTTCTTACAGTTGGTGTTAGGGGCACAAGTAAATGTGCATCTCCTCGGTCATAAGATTGAGAATATTGTGAGATACAACAACAAAACACTATCCTCTGTTCCTTCTTCTCCCACTTCGTCTCTTTCATGCTTTCTCTGTTATTGGCTATCATTTCAAGGCTTGAATCGTGTTCATCCTTCATTTGGCACGCAGACAAAGTGAGAAAGATTAAAATTTGGACATTGTATCCTAGGTACAGGATTTGAAGCCGATTGCCTTGGATCACGATTTCTATCGGGCACAAAAAATTGTTGCCCGTGGCAACAAAAAATTATTGCCCTTCACACAGAATATGGGGGGCACAACCATTTTCAGATTGTTTTTCGAATTACAGAATCTTGCAATTAGATGGGGCAGTTAAAACCAGCAAGTGATCTAACTGCAGAGCTCCGGATTGACAACCTTTATCAGGGAAAAGTATCGAAAAAAGTGCTAAACCAATTGCATTGTGCCAATTCAATCCTAAACATTTTAATTTGACTAATTTATGCCAAAACATTTAGCATTTGTGCCAATTGAGTCTATTTGACCAATTTTAGACAAAAATCACCATTGTAGATGCCGGCCGGCGCTAACGTGGACTCTTTAAATAATATTTTGAAGTTTTTCATAATTTTATTTATGGCTTTTTCTCTTTTTTTCTTTTCTTCTCTTTACTTTTATTAGGGGGGCTAATAAGGGCGGTGAGGGCCGCAAGCCCCTCACCCAAATCCGGGGAGGGCCACAAAGCTCTTGCCATATCTAGGCCAAATGAGAGTGTCGTGGCCCTTGCCCAGTGTCAACGACCCTTGCCAGCCCTTAGCCCCAAAAAAAGAAAAAATTATAAAAAAATTATAAAAAAAATTCAAAACATTATTAAAATATTATTTTAAAATGTTTACATTAGCATCAACCGTGCCACATAGAATGACCGACGTCTACGTCAGTAATTTCAAGGCAAAATTGACTGGATAAACTCAATTAGCACAAATACAAAAGTTTTAAGACTAAAATGGTCCAATTGAAAGGGTTGAGCACTAAATTGCCATCAATACAATAGGTTTAGGATTTCTTTGATACTTTCCCCACCTTTATCCAGCCCCGAGACACCTAAACACACTGTCACGTGAGACACAAATGCGCTCATAATTAGCATGCAAAAGAGAAGGAAGAAAGGACGTGAACAAGCACGAAGCATTTGGGCCGGAAACAACACTTGGGCCGTTCAGAAAACTATAAGAAATTATCCCACCAAGATCTTAAAGGTGAACACCGAGTCCATCGAAATACCGCGCGCAAGTTGGACCTTGAGTTGAGCATAATTGAGGGTCCAAATATTTATGGAAGTAAACAATGACAAGTATAATTAACCGATTTGATTATTGAATTGAAGATCGATGTCAATGGTGTAAAGAACGGGAGAAAAATCACTGTTAACAAAAAACTCTGAAGTGGCAAACTAGAATACGAATGTTTGAGGCACGCCATATGTGCGTTCATGATTGTAGATGAGCTACAACTTACGTATGAACATGAAAAGAAAGAAAATAATTTTTTTTAAAGAAATTATTGATTATTTGACTGAGAAAATGTAGCGGATCAATGTTACGTGTAGAGAAACTAATTTCTATATATTTTTGACGCAAGATAATAGCAAAACGTCAAAAAAAGTGAGACAAAACCCACTTGCGGCTTAATTGTATAGAACATAGATAGATATACATACGACAATCAAGTTGGCTTATCGAGCATTGCACGATCTTTTGTATTGTGATCTGGCCTTAAACAAAAATTAAAAATAAAAAAACTAGAGAGCAAAGCAATGTGCATTCACAATACTTCTTAACAAATCAAGATTGAATAACAAGCATTTGTTAGACCTACTTGAATCTTCCAAAGATCTTGACCTCATGTGCCAGTGTTGAAAGGAAAAAAAAATAAAGGTTAATACCACAAAAAACCTCAAACCGGTACATCTGTGACAAATGTACCCTCCGTTAGTTTTCGTTGAATGTTACCATCAAATTGCTAAGTTGGATGATATGTGACAATTGGCGGGTGTACTAATTTGGGGTTGGTGTAGCGGTTCGTAATTTTTCGTAGTATTAATCCAATTTAACGGAGGGTAATTTTGTCACAAATGTACCAATTTTGGATTTTTTATGGTTAAAAAATTAGTTTATAGTAAATTTGTCCCAAAAATGTCAGTTTGAGATTTTTCGTAGTATTAACAAAAAAAAAAACTCCTTGGCATTTTGTTCCTTGAGATCTGATTCATCGAGAGCCGTGCAGACGTGCAAGTGAATAGTGATGTGTGCCTCGATAAGTTTAAATTGCAACGAAAACGATGGAAGAAATTGTTAAATCACGCGAGATTAAGCGCGAATTCACTATTCTAATCAATGCTACATCGGAAAAAGATATATTAATTTTCGAAATCTTGCCACTGACGTCGAAGATGGGTACACAAAGGCACGTCTCTGAGTTGCCTGAAAGGGCTTCACCAGTTGTTTATCCTAAGTTAGAATTAGTTGTAACTAAGATCTCTCTTTGTCTGACGTTAGTGGAGTCTGACGTAGCAACTCTTGCCTCTTGCGATGAAGCTATGCATTTCCTGCTAAAATTAAGGGACCACGACCTCATACCATATAATATGAGCTCTAGAGAAAGGTTGGCAATGTAGAAATTAGGCTCGATTTTCGAAAATCTGTATAGGATCTCATTGTACACAGGAGCTCAGCAGATATGGCACTTCTATTTGTATCACTATATATTTATCAATTGATTTTTACATGGTATAAAGCCAGTATAACCTATTTGTTGCACAGCTAAGTTCAATCATGGAAAATATTGATGGATGTTAACAAATAGTGTTCTACATCGAGAGAACAAAATATATCACATATGTGGTTATAGCTAAAAGTCGTACTGTATATATAGTTATATTTAGGGTCGTATTTTTTCTACTTCTCCTTTAACTTAAACACTCCATTTTTTGTGTATTTTGACCATACTATTCCTTATGGGACCCACCACTTCTGGTATAACTCTACAAAGTGTTCCATTTTTTTATTATGTATTCAACTTTTTTGTGTTTTTAATCTATGATGCCAACCCCATCGTCCTCCACACTTTCGTTGGCACGTGCATTGGGCTCATCGGTGACCTCCCTAACGAGCTCTTTTTCTTCGCCGCACGCAGGCGGCGAAACAGTAGACCATATTGTTGTCGATTCCGGTACAGCAGACCACATTTGTTCTCAAAGCAAAAGACACACACTGCGGGAGGAATAGTCAGGTCTACCTCATGACTGCTGCCTAATTTTAGGTACAAGAGGCGTCCTTTAGCCTCCACTCTAGATTTAAACCCAACACTTGCAATCTTGAGAAAGCGGAAGAATTTGGCCTCCAATGTTGTCGAAGAAAATAGATTCCTTGAGATCAAACAACCAGATTAAGTATATCTTGCATCATTATTTCCAACAAGTCAATTAATGAGAAGCAGTGACATCATCCCAAAACTTATGATGAAGAACTTACGGAAACCATAGTAAGAAACTGAACCAAAGGGAGCAAATGTGGAGAAACAATCAATCAAATATGTCTTACTATTAATACTTATAACTAAATGTTATAATAGGAAAGATTTTTGGAATGAGATGATATTTAGGAAATTAAATCATTTAGGATATTTATTTGCATAGGGTTAAAATGAAAAATATTCAAATTCAAATTTGATATATGAGAAACTTTACCAAATTAAATGTTTTTTTCCTTAGATAGGGATACCTTGTCATATTAGAGTGTATAGTTTCATAGATGGCTTTTAATAGAATAATTAAATAAAAATCTGACATTTAGATTGAGATTGAACTCAAGGTTTCTTTTGTTATATTATATAGATATACCCCAAGGTCTTCATTGTCGAGTCAGCCTGCGCCTGTTGGGGACTATTAAGACAAAAATATATTTCACACTACACCAGACTAAGCTCGATTTGGGGACCATATGTGTGAGCAAATCAAGTCAATTCAAGGTGATGGATTGATCATACTGAGCCATGAAATTGTACCTATGTGAAAGCACATGCAGCCCTCAAGTCATTTTGGCAATTAATTAACCAAAAGTTTCCATTCTGTTAATTGAGGTAGTGTGTAC